GACTCATAGCGACCCCTCCTTGGGTTTCCAAGGCAGTGTCACTACGGAAGTAGATTGCCCCATCTTCCTTCCAAGGAGTGGCTGGTGGGTTTGAACTGCCAGCCTTCTGGTTAGCAGTCAAGTGCCTTAGCCAGTATGCTACCAGGGCTCCCTGTACCATCCTTGAAATATTTGCTGTGTTTGAACCCACTGTTGCCGCCACTGTGTCAGTCCGTCTCATTGAGGGTCTTTTTCTTGCTGACCCTTTCTTTACCAGTCATGACGTCCTTCTCCAGGTACTGCTCCCTCCTGATAACATGCCCAAAATATGTGAGATGAAGTCTCACCATTCTCACTCTGAAGGAGCATTCTGGTTGTACTTCTTCCAAGACAGATCTGTTCTTTCCTCTAGCAGTCCGTGGTATTTTCAATATTCTTTGCCAACACCACAATTCAAAGGCATCCACTCTTCTCTGATCTTCCTTTTTCATTGTCCAGCTTTCACATGTACATGAGAAGATTGATAATATTATGGCTTGGGTTAGGCGCATCTTAGTCCTCAGAGTGACATCCTCGCTTTTTCACACTAAAGAGGACACTTGCAGCAGATTGACCCAGCACAGTGTGTCGTTGCTTTCTTGACTGATGCTTCCACGGACGTGGACTATGGATCCAAGTAAAATTAAATTCCTGACAACTTCAGTCTTTTCTTCATTTATCATGATGTTGCTTATTGGTCCAGTTGTGAGATTTTTGTTTTCTTTATGTTGAGGTGTAATCCATAGTGAAGGCTGTAGTCTTTGATCTTCATCAGTAAGTACTTTAAGTCCTCTTCCTTTATTACATATATGCATGTTACATATCACTTATATCTGTATTTTGTCTATAGTATGTGATACATAATATGTATGAATATGTTTTTATATATGACATCAATATTCATTTTAGACTTAAAAATGTAGTTTATAAACATTATTTATAAATATACATGAACTTATTTTAACTATTTAAATGTTTTAATAGAAATCAACTGTTGGAATACTAATTATTTGTAGTTACAATGTTTATAATGTATAATCAGTATGGCCCCTACATTTATTATTATAATTTTAATTTGTTAGTGATTCTCTCATCTTTATATATCTATCTGTGGTTTCAAATTTTGGTAACTGTAGCAGTGTGCATTTTCTTTTTCAGCATCCATGTAGCACACAGGAGAGAACTGGGAGAGTTCACAGTCATTCATGCACTCACAGGATGGATACCAGAAGTCATTAATCTTCAGTAGGTTTGACTATTAATTATTCATTTTTATTTTTTCTCTCTTACCAAGTAATATATCTTTAAAATACTCTTAGTCTTTAAGAAAATGTCAAGAAAGTTCACATTTTATAAAATAGTACATTTTACAAAATACATCTCACCATACTATGTAAAGTTTCTTGAATATTTCAGGGTGCATTCAGTTTCTTTAGGCATATTGTGAATTTAATCCTTAAATATCTTATTTATAAATATTAGAACATTGACAGTTATTTAATATGGTAAAACCATAAGGTAATAACCAACAATATAATAAAACAAACAGTTTTCCTTTTGTATTTACACTTATTTCAGTACAGAAACAACAAGTTAGTTTTTAATTAATCAGGAATATTAGGGAATGACAACAACAACAACATAACAACAACAATAACACATTGCAAAAAAGGGCAAGGAGGCCACATGTTATGCCCTCCTTTAATCCCACAAGAGGAAGACAGGATTACCACCAGTAGCCCAAGGCCTATTACTGCAAAGCCAGACATGCTGCCTCCCTCCAGCCCTTTCTCCAACTGTTCCTCCCAAAGCACCCACCGCCTCTCTCCTGGGTTCGATAATTCGCTGCAGTGGCCACACAGAACTCACAGATTATGGGGTTTATTAGGGAAGCACCACAGGCTACAATTCAAGTTCAGAAAAAATGCTCAGTCTCTCTCCCAGCCCACCATCCCTCAGCCAACAGTCTCTCACAGTCTCTTTCCCAGCAGTGCTGGTCCCTCGGTGTCTCACTCAGCAATGTGTGTCTCTTGCGTCTCTTTCCCAGCAACGCGTGTCTCAGGAGCCCGTGTCTCTTTCAGCAGCACGTCTTCCTCAACCAGCAGTCAGAGAGAGGTCTGCCTCTAGGAGGCCTCCTTTTGAGCCCAGCAGGGTGGTCAAACTAGCCAATCATAGCATCAGAAGTCTAAGCACCTGAGAGAGAGTGGGCACCTCCCAGAACATTGTTTTGTGCCACTCCCAACAGAAATACAACAGGTGGACAACTTCAGCAATCAGGAGCTCCTCAGTTGTCCATAGAAAATCCCACCTTGGAGTTTACAAAAACTTATGGGTAGAAAAGCCACACTAAGTAATTTACTACACCACACACATATTATACATTAAATACTTTACTATATTATTTGTAATAAAAAAATACCCCTGAAAGGATTAGCTTATTTGCTCATCCATGTAACCCCATGATCTCCTTGTATCAGTTACCCTATTCATATGAGGAAGCTGAAGCTTGTGTGATTAGATTCCCTCCAGCCAAGCACATTTTGTGGAGAGACTAGATTTGACTCTAAGTCTTTCTGGGTTCAAAGTGCACATCTTTGTCTCTCATGATTTTCTACATAGAGGGTGATTATGTCCTAAAATAGCTCTTAGAAGGTAAAAGATAGAAGAGAGAGACCATATAATGTTATGTTTGTTTTAAAATTTACAAATGTCAGCCAGATGCCATCCAGTTCTTCTGGTCTCATGGGAAAGCAGGAAATTTTTCACAGAGGCAATTTGCCTCCATTTCCCCCTGTTTCTGACTCTAATTTTTCTTCTGCCCCCCTAAGTGAATGGATGCTGCTTGTACTGTGGATGTCTGAGTGCAAGACTCTCTGGAAGAATCTTGATCAAAAAAGGGAAAATGTAGAACGAATTTAAAATACACATGGGATCCAGACTTGTTGGAGCCGTCAAAGCTGGATGAGTCCCTGAAACTATTGCTCTGAGATAATCTCTAACCTTAAACCAAAAATACCCCTTGAAGTCTTCTTAAAACCAAACAATAGTTGGTTAAGCAGTTATCATTGAGGGAGCTCTGGTGGCATGGTGCCTAAGGCATTTGACTGCTCACCAGAACGTTCCTGGTTAAAACCCACCAGCCACTCCTCAGAAGGAAGATTGGGCAATCTTCTCTGTAGCAATACCTCCTCAGGACTAACTGAATGGTCATATATTGTGATTTGTTGGCATGTATCTTGTTTGGTATTCTTAAAAACAATCAGTAGTTTAGCTTAACTAGTAAGGAATGTATGCCTTGAGCATTGAGCTCTTTTAAGATCTGTCTGTACAGGATCAAATTGACAACAGTGACTCAAAGATTAGTTAGGAAACTTAAGGGGCAGTAAGATCATAATGGGGAGGAACAACTCAGAGAAGGAGGGTAAATGATTGTACAACTTGAAGGATGTAATCATGTACATGCAGAAATTGTTGAACTGGTGATGTTCTGCTGTGTATTCTCAACAACAGTAACAAAAATAAAAGTAATTATATACACTAAGTAAATTTTAGGAGTTCTGGTAGCATAGTGGCTAAAGCACTTGACTGCTAACCAGAAGGCTGGCGGATCAAACCCACCAGCCACTCCTCGGAAGGAAGGTTGGGCAATCCTACTTCCGTAGTGATACTGCCTCGGAAACCCAAGGAGGGGTCACTATGAGTCGGGTCCGACTTGACGGCACATAACAACAACAACAACAACAAGTAAATTTTAAAAATTATAAATAGAAAAAAATTACAAATGGCTTTATTTAATACAGAAAGGTTATAGATGGGTTTATCATATTACCAACATTTATCTTCATTGTCAATTGGAAATTAATCAAGTTAAGGTCCATAGAAAAGGATTATAACCATAAATATGAACATGTCATCAGTGCCAATCCTCATTCTTCCAAGGTGATCCAAACCCAAGCATAGTATCAACTCGAGTCATCTCTGATCTGAATAATGTGGACAATATCAGTGGAGAGAAGTAGAGATCAAATAAGATTTAAAAGTATGGGTTTCTCTAATTTTGATCTTAAATGTTATCTTAAGGGTCTATATTTTTGCCTTAATACTCCCTATGACAGTGAAGATACCAGAGAAACATGAAATCATCAGAATTCTCTCAGGATGGTCACGAGACAGGCTATCAGAATCATTCAGAACTAGAAAGTCATTTATTAAAAATTGTGAAGTGTTTTTTTCCTAGAATCATACAATTATACTTTCATAATAATGAGAGACTAATATTTAATAAGAAAAGAAACTTTTGAAAGATATTACATGCTCCATTTGCATGAATTTATGGTTGCGTATGAAAACAATATAAAGGGAAAAGCTTGAGCTTTGAAGTGAGAACTGTATAGCTAGACTAAATTCTGACATTTGTACTTTGATGTTATGTGAATTTTACAGGCAATGTAACTTCTCTGGACTCTACTTGGATCATTTGTAAATAAGAGAATAAACACCTGTCCTATACAGTTATTCTGAAGATTACATTAGTGAATGAGTGTCAGGAAAATTAGCTAGTGTTTGGTAGACATAATTAAGGAAAGGTTTCTCTCCCTTCCCTAGTGACTTTCACTAGATTATTTACTATTATCTGGAAATATGCATGAGAGTTAATAATTGATCTTTGTAAACAGGGATAGGTAGAAAGAAGAATTAATGAGGCTGACCAAGACAATCACTTTTATCAATTTTCTTCAGTATGCAATTGTTGTTGTTGTTGTTAAGTGCCGTTGAGTCGACCCCGACTCATAGTGACCCCTCCTTGGGTTTCCGAGGCAGTATCACTATGGAAGTAGGATTGCCCAACCTTCCTTCCGAGGAGTGGCTGGTGGGTTTGAACCACCAGCCTTCTGGTTAGCAGTCAAGTGCTTTAGCCACTATGCTACCAGAGCTCCTAATTATAATTAGAAATTATATATTATGCAATTAGAAAGTAAAAATGGTTTTGATCTGCTCTATTGTGGTTTGGAGGATTTTTCTTACATTCTGCCACACTATTCATTGTAAAGTTACTAAGTGTATATTATAAGTTCTGATAAAAAGAGTGTTATGAAACATTATATAAATAAGAAGAAATGTTTCAGTTAAAATCCAAAAGTGATCACCGTCTGCCAAGGGTGCAGGCAGGGGTCAAGTAAGGCTTCATGGAGAAAATTCTGACTTGATCTGAGCCTTAATGTTGGCTATGTTGGTTTCATGGAAAGAAGGCAAGGGGCATTGAAGCCAGAGTACCCTCTGAGCAAAGACATATGGTCATGGTATGTTCAGGAGTGAAATGTTTTTGTAGCTAAGAAGGATTGGAATGAGCAGAAAATGTTCCTGAGGGGCTCTTGGTTTTACAAGGTCAAGGCAAAAGAGGGTGCTGAAGTTTCAAATTGATGTTGACTGTGGATTTTTTTCCACTTGAAAATCTGATAATGGGTTTTGTGCCATTTCCAACAATGTCTTCCCTTCCTTCCACTCTCCCATGTGTGTATCACAAGGAGATACTACTTGATATACAATTATTATCCTCACATCTTTTGTTTTCCTAAAATGAGCAGTTTTACTATTTGAAACAGACAAAAACAATCACTTGTGATTCTCTTAAAAAAAAAAAAAAGCACACCATCAATATCATGTCTGAATGGATATTAGAATTCTGAAAATTGCCAATAAAGGGATGACTTGGCATACTTCTCTGATGCAGTCCATCCATGGACATAGCACTCTGCTATCACATCTTTAAGCCTAATTATTCAAGAAGTGATATAGTCTCATTTTGTGATCTATGAATATTTCTTAACATAGCATATAATTATATATATATATATATATTGTATATGGGAACACACACACACACACACATACACATTGGCTTTGGAATCAGAAAGATTTGTGAATCCTATCATTTGCTAGTTGCATGACTTCATAAAATTTAACCTCTCTAAAATTCAAGTAAAATTGAAATTTTTAATACCTAAGTTGCAGAGCTGTTGTGAAATTAAATGGAAATAAAAAAGAGTTTGTGCTGAATGCTAATTATTTGCTAGGTACTGGGGCTCAGTGATAAATAGGAGGCAATTCAGTCACTCAAGCAAGTCACAGATGCACAAGGAAACTAATTATTTCCTGGTCATCAATTCATCTTGCTTTGTCTGCTCAGAAAATCTTAATGAGTAAGTTGTCTGTACACACTGTCTTTATATCCTTGTTGTTGTTGTGTGCCATTGAGTTGATTAGACTCATAGTGACTCTATAGGACAGAGTAGAACTGCCCCATAGTGTTTCTGAGGCTGGCATATTTACAGAAGCAGAAAACTCAATACTTCCTCATCTTGGTTTTTGTGCTTCCTTCTCTACCACACCAGTGAAACAGCTTCTCTTAGGGTCAACAAAGGCTACGGCATTTCCAAATGCAGTGGTCACTTCTCTAGCCCCCTTTTACTTGGATTACCAGTATTAGACCCTCTTGAACAACTCTTTCTTGCAACACATGGCTTCCACAACAGACTCCTAGTTTCTTTTCTAACCTATCTGTTGCTCTTTTTCAGCCTTCTTGGATAGTAACTTACCCACCACCCAACCACTAAATGGTGATATGTAGGAGGGCACCTGGCCATGAAGTCTCAATATAATAATTTATTTGCCAGTGACATTCAATCTATTTGCCATTGACTTTGTCAATGATCTCCATGCCTGATCATGTTTTCCTTAACTCCAGGCTATCTTTATACAGCACTGCCTAACTGATATAGCTGTGTGGATGTCAAAATATATCTTAGTTTTAGAATATCCAGAAATGAACTCTTGATTGTCAACCTCCCAAACACACTCCTTTCGTGGAATGCCTCATCTCATTGTATTGCACCACTATCCACCCAGTTCCTGAAGCTAATAACTAAGCGTCATCCTTGTTTACTCCTGTCTCCTCACTTCTCACATGCAGTTCCTTACTGAGTTCCATTACCTCCTCCACTTACTCTGAATCTCTTCGTTTTGCTATATCTCAGTTTTAATGTCATAGATTGACTTACCATCAATGCTCATGTGGACTAAGGTAATTGTTTCCCAACTGGTCTCCCTGTGTCTAACTTAACTCCTTTACTTATTACTCCACATGGCAGTCAAAATTATTTTCTAAAATATAAATCATGTTATATTTATCTCTTTCTTAAAACTTTTCAGTGGATAACAATTACGTTTGAATAAAGTTTTAAAATCTTTGCTCTCGTCTTCACCGTCTGCCCTTTGCACCATCATCATGAACCTCATCTCTATCTTGGCAACCACTCACTGGCTACACAGGTCTTTATTTGTTTCTTAAATATTCTAAACTTATTGACCCTTAAGGTTTTTACATAAGCTATTCTTTTCTTCTGCATAGGATCATCTTCTGTCAGATATTCACTTGGCTGGGTACAGCATGCCATTCAGGTCTCACCAAGTTTAACCATCAGTTCTTCAAGGAACCTTTCATGACTATCGGACCTAAATTATTCCTTCCCCAAGTCATGCCATATTCCTTCATCCATTTTGTCATTTTCCTCAAGGATGTTATCACTACCTGTTAAATATCTTCTCTATCTCTTTGATGGCTGTCTCCATACATCAGAGTGGTAAGATCCATGAGAGCAGGGATCTTGTTTATTCTACTCAAGTCTAGAACAATGGCTGGTGACAAGCACACAATAGTATCCTCAAAACAAATGTTTCTTGAGTTAGTAATTTTAAAAGTATGAAAAAAGAGACTATTAGAAATATGTAAACTATTATTTGGGGACTCACATCAGGAACATGAAGCCTAATTCTCTAAGAAAGTTATGCTTGAACTGAGCCTCAAAGGATTAGTTGAAATATGCCACTGATTTAGGTGGGGAAGCCAACTGAGAGAAGAAAGAATAGACTGAAAATGTGCAAGGGCAGAGTCCAATCCCAGAAATATACCTGGTTCTACATGACTGGATTATAAATTACTAGGTAAGAAAGGAGGGATGAGTATGAGGGAGAGAGGTAAGCAGGAGCCAGGTAGGTCTTTCAGGTCATGATGCCATGTCAGGGGATGTTCACAACATCCCAAGTTACAGACTATCATTCAGGGATTTTAGACAAGAAGATGGTCTTACCAGATTTGTGATTGTGGAAAGTTGCTCTGGGAGCAGCCAGCAGATAGCAAGACCAAAGCAGGGAGATGGGCTTGTACAATATTCCAGGGCTTTACTGAGGGCTTTTACTAAAGAAGTGGCAATGAGAATTGAGCAAAGATAATGGACTCCAGTGACAGGAGGTAGGATCAAAGGGGCAAGATGTTTTGTTTGATGAAAGTTCTAAGGTTAGGAGACTTGGTCATTATGAAGTCTCTGACCTGAACGATAAGTGGAAGGATGTTTTTATTGTTTTGCCATTCATTTATTTGTTTTGAACAAATGTCTGTGGTTGTGTACATTGATCTGGATATCAGGAGAGAAGTTTTGAAGTAAAGCTTATAATTCAGAGGTTATATCCTTATACCAGTGAACTCAAAACACGGTTGTGCTTCCTCACTGAAGAAAAGATAGCTCAAATGACAAGAGCACAAAGAGAAGAGACATGGGGAAGTGACCAAGTGACCCTAACTTGTCAACAGTGGTCAGAGGAAAAGGGGCATTTGAAGGAGTCTGCACGTAGTTCTATAAAACCAGAAAGAAAATCTGGTGAGAATGGTGCTATGGAAACCTCAGAGAAGAGTTTAAAGAAGGAAACAGTGGTCAGTCAGCACTGACACATTCCATAGAGCAGCCAGATAAAATAATGACGTTTTGCAGAAATGATAATGGTGACAAAGTGCCTGGCACCTCTGTGTGTTCAAATACTACTTTCCCTTTCATGGTCTTTAACGTGACTAAATGATCCTTGAGACTAAAACCATATATATA